GCCGCCATAGCCCACCCATCTTATCCTCCTCCCTCTTCCTCCCTCCTCCCTCCTTGCCCTTCCCCCCCCCTCCTTGCTGCTTCCGCCATAGCTTTCCTCCTCCCTCCTCCAGGCTCCTCCCTCCTTACGCTTCCCTCCTCCTCCCTCCTTTTTTGTAGCGCACCCCTTCTGCCCAACTCCTCCCTCTCCCCTCGCCATTGCCTTCCTCCTTCCTCCTCCCTCCTCCCTCCTCCCTCCTCCCTCGCCTCTCACCATAGCCTCCTTACTTCCTCCCTCCTACCTCCTCCCTCCCCTCTCGCCATAGGCTCCTTACCTCCTTCGTCCTCCCTCCTCCTTCGTCCCTCCTCCCTCCTCCTTCCTCCCTCCTCCTTCCTCCCTCCTCCCTCCTCCTTCCTCCCTCCTCCTTCCCCCCTCCTCCCTCATTTTTCGTAGCGCACCAAGTCCACATCAGCGGCCGCCATAGCCCACCCATCTTACCCTCCTCCCTCTTCCTCCCTCCTCCCTCGTTACCCTTCCCCCCCCCCACTCGTTCCTCCTTTCTCCTAGCGTTGCTTCCGCCATAGCTATCCTCCTCCCTCCTCATGTCTTCAGCAGTCTCCACAGACTCCCTCCCTCAACACCATAGCCTCCGTCTTTCGACGTGACACTGTGTCAAGCTGCCAGCCTGACTTTGCGATTCCTTTTTTTTTTTTTTACATCGAGTTCTTCTTCTTTTTCTTCTTCTTCTTCTTCTTCTTCTTCTTCTTCTTCTTCTTCTTCTTCTTCTTCTTCTTCTTCCACTTCTTAGTCTCCATAGACTCCCTCCCTCAACAACATAGCCTCCGTCCTTCGACGTGACACTGTGTCAAGCTGCCAGCCTGACTTTGTGATTCTTTTTTTTTTTCACATCGAGCTCTTCTTCTTCTTCTTCTTCTTCTTCTTCTTCYWMTTCTTCTTCCCCTCCTCGTTTGTAAACCTTGTGCAAGATGGCATCTTCAAGCGGGGCAGGCACTTCGAGGGGGAAGGAGGTGGCAGGTTCGAACGATAGCGGCACACGCGTGAAGGAACCGTTTCAGCCGCAGCCTGAGGCAAGGCAGTTGCAACTGCAGGCGACGAAGGTGGCATTCAAGTGGGTGACGCAGGGGCAGATGGTCCCGCCATTGTCGAAGGGGCAGTACAGAGTGAAGTGCAATATGTGCGGCGCAGATTGGGTCGCGTCGTACACGCGTGTGTGGCCGCACTTCACACGGAAAACTAATCCATGCCCCGCGCGTTATCCGGAGATGCTTCACATCCTTGCTGCAAAGGGGCATGCGATTGACTGCAAGAAGACGTTGCGGCTCATCCAATTGTATCGGATGGAGCACAACATCCCTCAGGACGGTTTGGTTTCTACAATTCCGGAGGTGGAGGCACAAGGGGACACAGTGGATGCGTTCATAGTGCCACCGACAGCACGGCAGAGCAGAACGGTGCCGACTGTGGAAGTTGATGAAGAGGCAAGAGAGGGGGTTGTGGAAGAAGGTGGTGGAATGCCGGGGACGTCTGCGCAGGGATCCGCTGCGGGCCCAAGATCCGGGAAGTTGACACAATCATCGATCAAAAGGTGGGCAACCAACGATTCGCAGCACAGATTGGATGTGGCATGGGGGATGCACCTTTTCCGACACGGCGCCCCATTCATCTACGTCAGAACGAAAGAGACACAGGAGCTGCACGACTTGTACCTCGAGTTGGGGGAGAAAAGGCAGCGGGTGAAGATGCCTTCCTTGGAGGTCATCCGAACTGTTGTGTTGGACATCATATACAACAACGTGCATGACGACATGCAGCCGCTGAAAGCGAAGTGGGATGACACAGGTTGCACTCTCCTCACTGATGGGTCCACAGATTGCAGGTACAGACCTGTGATGAACTTCATTGGGGTCGGCGAGAGCGGTGCGATCCTATTGAAGGTCGTGGATATGTCCAAGAAGAARAAGACTGCAGTCGCTCTGGCGATAATGTGGGAGCAGATGATCAGGGACATTGGGGTGCATCGGGTTAATGCAATCTGCACGGACAATGCAGAAGTCAACAAGCAAGCTGCACGAATCCTGCGAAGGCGTACAGATCGTGATATATCAAGCATTCCATGGGTCCCTTGCGCAGCTCACTGCTTGAACTTGTTGATGAAGGATGTCTGCGAGCTCGACTRGGTGAAGCAAGTGGTGCAGCGCACGAAGATGATGGTCAAGTTCATAAGGAAACACCATAACACAAACAGCCTTTACACGAGGTGCTCAGAACTTTCGAGGGAATTGACTTTGATTTTGCCCACGGAGGTCCGCTTCGCGTTCGCATACATGATGATGAACCGGTTTTGGGGAAGGAGGTGTGTGCTTGAGGAGATGATGGAGGAGGAGTGGAGGCAGTTGAGATGGAGCACAAGGAAAGATCGAGACAAGTCTGACCTGACGTACCAGACTGTTACCGCATCCGAATGGTGGGAGAAGTTGCGCACGATTTTGGATGTGCTGGAGCAAATATACGAGCTACTAAGGAAGATGGACCGCAACGGCACAGCCCCCCCAAGCCTTTGGCACTTTGACGAAGGGTTGGGCAAGCGTCTGAAGACACTTACGCGGTTGACCGATGAGCAGCGGCGGGCGATCATGAAGGCAGTAAAGCAGCGGACGAAGATGATGAGGCAGCCCGTTCATGCAGCGAACTTTCTTCTTGACCCAAGGAGGAGAGACAACAAGTGGTTGATGGACATGCACTCACCGCTGGTCCAAAACACCCTCAAGTTCTTCCTATCACAGTGCAAAGAGGACGCCGCTTGGGGGGGCGACGAGCAGCTAGGTCTGTGGGCGGACTTGCAAGCTTTCCACAAGGCGCCAACTGAAGATATGTTGGTGAAGGATCCAGTGACAGGGAAAGTGGTGGAGGAGAGCTTGTGGACTGAGTTTGCGATCTTCGACAGCTCCCTTGCTCAAATGACAGCCTCCGAATGGTGGAACCGCCATGGGGCCTCTCACAAGAAGTTGTGAGACATTGCCATGAGAGTGACAGCGATGTGGAGCACTGCGACCCCTTGTGAGAGGAACTGGTCCTCTCTCGATCTTGTCCACAACAAGAGGAGGGCCCCGCTGTCGCCTGACAGCCTCGCCAAGCTAGTGTACATCCACTGGAATCTTCAGCTGCTGGACATCAAGAAGAAGAAGAGTACAGGAAGCTTGGCAGGGTACTTGGACATGTGGGCTGCATTCTTCGATGAAGTGGAGGCACCAACACCGAATGATCCTGCAGTGTTGCCAAGGGCTGCAACTACAGCAGACTTGAGTGACGACGAAGTGGCCCGCCGGGCAAATCTAACGAAGATCCCCGAGCTACAGTCATGAAGCCTCATGTCGTTGATGGATCAAGCTCAACGGACAGCAGTGATGATGGGGAGGACCTAATTTGGAGAGGCAAAGGCAAGAACAAAACGGGGTTCAGCAGCAGCGGCATGCAGAAGGCATGCAACGGGAACAACAAGAGGAAGACGTTCAGCAGCACCAGCAGCGAGAGGAAGGCCTGCAGTAGCAAAGACAAGAGGAGGGCCTGCAACAGCAAGATGATCGGCAACAACAGCGAGAGGAAGGACTGCAGCGGCAGCAGGTGCAGCAACAGGATGATCGGCAGCAACAGCAGCAACAAGAACAACACGACGGACTAGAGCAGCAACAGCAACAAGAAGATGGACCACATCCGCAACAGCAGCAGCACAAGGTTGGAGCGCAGCAGCAGCAACAGACAAAACGGGATGGACCGCAGCAGCATGAGCAGCACAAGGATGGAGCGCAGGAGCAGCAGCAGCAGACAAAGCAGGATGCACCGCAGCAGCATCAGCAGCACAAGGATGGAGCGCAGCAGCAGCAGCAGACAAAGGAGGATGGAACGCAGCAGCATCAGCAGCAAGAGCACGATGGTCCGCATAAGCAACTAGAGCACGATCCGTTGCAGCAGCAGCAAAAAGAAAACGGGAGTGCAACGGGAGTCGCTCGAGTGTACTCCAGGCGGCCTCCAGTGCCCAGTGCAGCAGCAGTCCGGGGTGTGGTTCAAACCCTTCCTTTCCCTGCGCAGGTCGAGGGCGTGCAGCACGACAACTTGGACGTGAGCCTGGCGGGAAGGAAGAAGAAGGTGCAGCCTGACACAGGTCCAAAAGTGGCAAGGAAAAGGGGGCACCCGCGAAAGTACCCACTTCAGCCAGCTCCATCAGCTTGCGCTCCGGTCGGCGAGGAAGGCGAGGGTCGTTGAGGACGATCCGACGGATGCGGAAGAAAGCAGCAATGAGAGTGAAGAAGATGATCAGGAAAGCGACTGGGAATAGGGCTCGGCGGGGGAGGAAGCTGGAAGGCCATACACTTGTACTGGTCTGAGGGCTGATGATGTTCAACGGTCATTGTCGAAGTGGTGTTTTTTTCGCACAGTTAATCCCTTGGGGTTTCCAAGGCAATCAATGTTGTGCCTTTTCCTTCTTGTACTTCTTCTTCTTCTTCTTCTTCTTGTGTTATGACTGTCAGTGTGTTACCATGTTATGTCAATGGAGGCTCACTGTCGATCACAATTCGTAAGACCTCTAAGTTCGTGTCGGCTGCACTTTGCCTCTTACGTTGTTTACAGCCTGCCATTCTTTACAACATGACTTCGAGTTTGCTTGCATGGCTGCTTGGAATCACGGGGAGCAGCGGACTCGGTCTAAGTGTGGACTGGAACCTGGTCTGAATGTTGAGTCCACACTTAGACTCAGTCCGCTGTTGGAGACCAGCGGGACAGAGTTGCTCAAAGTTTGCTGCTTGAAATCACGGGGAGCAGCAGACTGAGTCTGAGTGTGGACTCAAACTTGAGTTTCAGTCCACACTCAGACTCAGTTTGAGTCTGAGTGTGGACTGGAACTCAAGTTTGAGTCCACACTCAGACTCAGNTCTGAGTGTGGACTGGAACTCAAGTTTGAGTCCACACTCAGACTCAGTCTGCTGCTCCCCGTGATTTCAAGCAGCAAACTTTGAGCAACTCTGTCTCGCTAGTCTCCAGCAGCGGACTCGGTATGAGACATTATTTTGCGACAGTGTTCGGAAATCAGGGGATTTTTGTTTGCTGGCATTTGCTGCTTGTGAGTGCTTCAACCTGCTTTACTTTTGCGAGTCCACGGGGGATGGAGTAGTTGCTGTGTGCATGCCACCAGCTGCAGTTGCTCAAGTACAGGCGGGACAAAGCAGCTGCTGCATCCCTGGTCCTGCAAAACGTGCAACCCGGGATCCACCCCACTTCTGCACCCCCTCCCCTCACCATTCTCACTGCCCCCAAAACAGACCTAAATCGACATCCAAATTGATCCAATGTCATCCATAGAAATTAGATACGAGGCTTATGAAGCCTATTACGAGGCCGGGTATATGCAGTACTCGGAATGCGCAGAAAGGCCCCGGAAAAAAAAAAAAAAAAAAAAGCATGCCCGGGGTACCCCGGGCGTGGTCCCCCCGCGGGCAACTCGCCCGGGGCGCCTGGCCGGGCGCCCCGGGAAAGACAGATCATTCATAAATAAATTTGATAATTGGATAAAAACTTAAAATTTTCATAAAATCAGTGCGTTGACTGAAGCAACCTTAGTTAAAAGCAACAGAAGGGGGAGGAAAGTGACCGAAAGAGAGATAGATGTTAATCCCAAACAGTGAATTGATAAGCGGTTACTTTACGAGGCAAGACATCCAAACAACGTGATGAGTTTTGCACCATCCAGATTAACTTTGCTGGCAACAAATGTAATGTGAAGGACTGTTTCTCCTAGGATGTCTGCTCAGGTCAGGCAAAGCAGGATCAGAATACTTACACCAGGGAGAAGGGCGGAGCATGGTGACAAAGAGTGACAGAGCAGGGAGGAGGATACTTGCCATGTGAAGCTCATCAACTACGACGATAGCAATCTCGCCAAGCCTTCCCTCTTCAAGCAATCTATTTACCTGTATCAACAGTAGAAGTTGCTCAAGTTAGACAATGAATGTTCAGTGTGCACGTGAAATCGTACATTATCATTTGAGAGGTTCAGCATATACGGTGGCACAAAGTGTGCCAATAATTAGAATATATAAATCAATCACACAGATTAATTGCTTCATTTTCCGAAAAAAAAGACAACTACAAGCAATAACATCAACCTATGATTGTGAAACATCATTTCAGCATAGACACGACTCAGGTCGTGTACCACCTACAGATTGCCAGAATTGGCTACACAACACTGCTTGAGAGAGGGAGGAAATTCACCAGTGCCAACAACCCCATCCACCACCCTACCACCCTACCACCCTCCCTATCATCATTCCCACCAAATGAAGGGCAACAGTGCCCACTTCTAGACCTCACCTAGCGCTAGAGAGCTTTAGTAGCATGCCTCCATGCCGGCACAAGGATCCATTCTGTGGGACAAAGGCAGCCTAACCGGCAGTCTGGTTCTTACACCATCAAAATGAGTGCCCACGGACAAGAGCCTATCATTGAGACCCCTTCAGAGACAAAACTATTGAAGGGTTCCCATAAGACATGGTCTTGACCCCCAACTCACCAGGTCCGAGTCTGGACCACCTCTGCTGGAGAACAAGGAGACACAAAGCCATGGCAGTTCATTCGGAGACTTGGACCTGGACCCTGCCAGCACAAGACCCCACTGACCTGACACTNTTGGACCTGGACCCTGCCAGCACAAGACCCCACTGACCTGACACTCAAAGCCATGGCAGTTCATTCAAAGAATTCGATCTGGACTCGCCAGCACAAGACCCCACTGACCTTGGTCTACACCGGTTCAGAGAGAGAGGGAGAGAGAGGACTGATTCCACAGCCTGAAAGTAGGGACACGCTTCCGTAACCAGTAGCATGAGATTGTGACTGCAAAGGAAGGAATGCCATGAGATGCGTCCATGGTGGGACGCAAGACTTCTCAAAGATGACTTCGAGATTAGGTCAGAGTCATCTCTTCTATCACATTTTTGTTGATTCCACCCGCTGTTCACACAGTTCATCTGGTTGTCACCTTGCGCCACGAATCATTGGCATTGTTTTTTCAGTTCTAGGAGCTTCTCAAGTTTGCTGCAGTCTATGTTGGCCAAGTTGCCATCCAGGTCACAGCTGGGAGCCAAAGTGAATCCTATGGGGGAATGGGGTGAAGAAAGCACAACGGAAGTCCCAAATCACGCACAGCAGAAGTCTCAATCACATGCACAGATCAATGGAATACACACACGACACAACCAAAAGACAATATGGACAGAGAACCATTTCACTTATACACAGCAGAAAGGAAAAACGGATAGAGGGATGCAACCACAGTTGATCATATACAGATGAGGGAAGAATGAAGAAGAAAGGAAAAGTGAGGAAGAAGAAGAAGAATATAATCTCCCTTTCCTCTTCAATAACCCCACCCTACTAGAAATCACCTCTGACAATGAAATGGCTCAGAACTCTTTTTGGGAGAGCATCGCTCTCCATAAACACCATTCCATAACCAGATCTCTGTCTCTCTCAGACAAAGGAGGAGAGGCGAAGAACACGACAGACTCTGCTCTCTCTCTCTCTCTCTCTCTCTCTCTCTCTCTCTCTCTCTCTCTCTCTCTCTCTCTC